TGATCAGGACTTTTCTTCCACTTAGAGTTTAGATATTCTTAGTTTCACAACCATAGTGTTTTTTCAGAACCCACTTGATTGTGAGCCTGCTGCCCGCTAGTATTAGCTAATCTGCTAGTTACACTTTTGATAGCTAACTTTGGACTGTTTCTGCCTCTGTGTCTCTGCTGGTTTCTCGGTTTTCTTCCACAGGGCCTAGATTAGCACAGTGGTCCAGTAAAAGGCATCTTCCTTAGAATCACATGTATGACATATATGTATGTGTCTCTCGTTCTGATCTGCCTCGGTCTACTCTGCTGCCACATCAGATGAGCTGTGCACATCGACTGTTACTTAAAGGTTGCACAACACAATGAATCAATGACGAAAGCATTGCCAACGCATTTCTTCATCAAATTATAACCATCGATTTTATCGATTCTTTGTTACAGCCCTGTTCTGCTGCTCACAATTTCTCCATAGTTTTTTGTGAACACAGCAACAGGTGAATTAAAACAAATAAATACTATTTCATATAATATTTTAATAATGTTTTAAAGAAAAAATTGAAATAACATTTTAAATAACTGAAATGTTTGTGTTAGCAAAAATTTAAGTTAAATGTTTTTGATACGTACGTTTTATTTATTATAAAAACTAATCATGAATTGCATCACCACAGGCTAAACTCTCCCTGAGTTACCACAAGGACCAATTTGGTGTGCCACCCCAAAATTTCTTTGGCCCCATCTAGCCACCTCTATCACATTTTTCTGGAGGCGTCCCTGCATGTTAGATGTTCTGGAGATGAAGTCAGAGACAGACGGTTTGGGCATGATGACATCAGTAGAAGGATGCTGAGTTTGGAGCCACCAGGCAGGTGCCTGAGAGGAAGACCAAACAGCATGCTGATGCAAAACCGACACGAGATCCGTTAGAGTTTAAAAACGGGATAATGTCGAAGAGGAGAGGGGAAAAAAGAAACAGATGTTTATGGATTTGCTGCAGACTACAGGGCACCTCTCATCCCTCCCCTTCTCCTTCAGTTATGACTATGAAAGTTATCTTGAAAGACGGAGATCTGAATTAATTAATTTCTTTATTTTCTGCCACTTCAAGCAAAGTCCTGAGCCTCGGATATCAAACTGTCTTGAGGAGGCCCTTCAGTGCAGCGATGCTCTAATTGGTTCAGCTGGCTGTAATCTATGTACAGTAAAACAGCTTGAGCTCAACCCAGCGCCGCTCACAGCCAGGCGAGATCTCTATCTATCCCCTTCATTCACAGCTTAATTCAATTGGAGGGCAATTATCGACCGCCTCGAGGCTCCAGGATCCACTGTCGGTTTGTGTTCTCATCAGGGAGCATCGCGGTGTAAGATCTCCCCATACCCCCGACCCTCCTCCTCCTCTCATCCTGCCCCCAACTGCACAGGCCGATGTCTGTGTCGATGCCTGTGTGTAAAACATCCAAGCAGGCAGCAGCAAACAAGCAGGAACGATCCCTCAGCAGCATCCGCAGGACTCACACCATGGAGGAGGAAGTCCAGCTTCCCAGAAACAAATAAGCTGAAGTCATTCTGTTTTATTTACTGTACAGAATTTTACTCCCAAATAACAAAACAGCACAAACATGTTTTAAGTCATTAATTTGGGGACATTACTGAAGTTCAGATTATGGCATCATTACAGAAATGTTCATATTTTGGAATTGCAGCTTTTACATTAGTTAATAAAATACCTTTTTGTTTTATTTTAAAGCTGGTGTCAGTGGGTTTTGAATGCTTGTGAGAAAATAAAGTTTATTTTTATTTCAGGGCTAAACGTAGCTTTAAGGTGTGCTCACTCAGTGCATCAGTAGCAACATGACAGTATTTGTCTCAGCCTTTCTTTCCAACTACACATGAATATTTATGATGGTTCCTTATCTTGAATTAAGCCAAATCATCACAAAAAAAAATCAGTCCTTATTTATGCTTAGGCTCCACCTTCAGCAGGGGGGCAAAAGGGGGGTCCAAGCTTGCTGTCAGGGTGGCCCTGGCCCACCCTAGAAGCCCACTAGGCCTGTCCCTGTGCTCTACAACTAAGTAAAAACATGTTATTAGGGGATCAGGAAAAATGTGACTCTGCATTTTGTTTAATAAGTAAATAAAATGAACGATGGCGCCTTCTAGTGGATGCTTGCAGCACACCTCCATTAGTTATTTGAAGCTTTAAAAAAATGTCATGATTGTTTGCATATCTTGCAACAAAACTGGAACAATCAAGAAATACTACACAACATTAATCCTTTCGGGATGTGCAAAAATGCAGTAAAGACCTAAACAGTCTCACAAAAGCTGTGAGGAACTCTCACACAAAGGAAATAATTAAAACAACTTTTTTATGTGCTTTGGCAAATGTTTGATTAATTAAATGTTTTATCAAGTTTTGTGAAATATTTTGTTGTGTCTACCACTAGGGGTCAGCAGAGGATTGAAGAGCGTTGGTAGCACAGAAAGAGAAGGAGTGAGGGAGTTATGATGGATGCCTGATGCTGCTACATGTGACGCAGCTTTCGTGCTTACTCGTGCTACTTTCTGATGTAACGGCCGACCGTAACAACTTTGCTTTGTTTTTCAGAAAATTCCACAATTCCTGGTTTGATACGCGTTTAAAAACTCAAACTGGCTTCACAACAGACCTTTAATGTGTCAGCAGAAATGAGGAACTGAGATAAAAAAAAATACATTTAGCTCTTGATTTCAGAAAACCAGACAGACTAATGCAGTTTATAATAAAAGAGCCTCTTCAACACGTTTCTGTTCATCGTTTATCACGTTTGTGTTTTCTAAACATTTCCAGTAAAAGCTGCATCTAAAACCCTGTTTTATCATTTATGTGTTAAAGTATTTTTTATCTGATCTGTTATCAACAGAAGGGAAAATAAATTCTTGTTATTTCTTCTATAATGTATAGATTTAACAGGCAAACAAGCTTTAAACTTTCTGTTTCCATCTCTGGTTATCCCAATCAGGTGGACAGAAGGCAGTTCAGCTGACTGTTGTCGGTGTGTGAGCTTCAGCTGTTGAAGTGTTTGGTGTGATTTCTGTCACCGCAGCCCCTTAGCACCAGGACATGGGTTTTTCTTTTGCTGGGTTGGCTTTTTGCTGCAGAACGTCATGTTTAAAATAAAACAGGCTAAGTGCTGACTCTGTTTATGCAAACCGGGACAAGCGAGACACGATAAGAAGCATCTTCAGTGCATATTTCCACATCATGATGTGTCATGTGACTCCTGTGATGTGAAAACCTCACAATCTGCTCTTCATCTGTCCTACAAACGGTTTAATATCTATCAGCACTATGTTCTCCACCTAAACCAGCTTCAATCAACTTAAAAATGTTTATTTTCAGCTGTGAGAAATGATCATCAGCTCAGCAAGCAGCAAAAATTCCACTGAAAACATGAATTCATCCATCAAGAATCCACTCTGAACCCTAAATCACTTCTAGTATCACAGATAAACAGACCCTACTGCAGGATTTAATTAGGAGGTGGACTGTTTAATTGACCGGATCCATAATTTGGCCAATATTTGCATGTTTTAAATAATGGCAGCCATGTTTGTGCAGGAATAAGAAGATGCAGCATCAGCTGCAAGAGGAACTTTCAGACACATCACCATTAAATTTTCTCTGTTAAAAAAAAACTTTAAAAAAAGTCATGATGTTTTTTCATCCAATTAGTTAAAAAATGATAAATAAACCAAATAAATACCTAAAAGAATGTAGTCTGCATCAGAAATCAGCCTCATTCCTGCTGACCTCTAAGCTTTATTATGAAGGTTTATCAAATTCCTTCCAACACATGAAAGTAAATCATAAAAAAATGAGTAAAAGAGAAAAGGATCCATCAAACCAATCTGCTTCCAGATGTTCTGATCAAGCTGACAAAAGCAAAAATCATCAAATAGCTACATAACTCATCACATATGGTGCACTAAAAGCTGCATTCCTGCAGAGAAATTAGAGTATTTTAAGCTTTTATTGTGAAACTCCATTTATCAACATAGTTCATCGCTTTGGTTCTCTCAAACTCAAATAATTTCTGTTTAAATCTTTAAATAGTCTCATAACCATCAGCTGAGCCGGGATTTAATTTGCAGAACATGCATAAAATATAACACTATTAGCAGAAATGCTGATGGCTGAAAACGAGGCTAAAATTTGTTTTAAACCTTTAAACAAACCAGACTTGAGCTCCAATCATCAGTAAATACGTGTCAGAACCAAATTCTTCAAGTCCACACTTCATTAAAACACCGTTTTGCTCCTTTTTGAGACATGCACCACGGCTACAAACTGAGCCAAATCCCTCTGAAATGTGCCACTAGGCCTGATATTTGCAGAGCACACATGTGCAGGTGCTCATTGTAAAACCCAGGATGCTCTTTGGCTGCAGGTCACATTCTTCTGGATCCACTCTGCACTTTTTAAACCTAAAGCATGCAACGGATGACTCATGCACAAATACATCAGGAAAGGAATAGATGACCCTGTTTTATTTTCCTCCACATGCAACAGTTAAGCCTCTTGGGTTCCTTCCTTACAGCTCCAGCGGAGTTACACCGATTTTTGTCTTTAAGCTTTTTGGAGCTTTTCTACTCTCCTGCTGCTAAAACTCCTTCATGCATAAAAACACTCATGCATCTGTGTTGCATTTTGTCTCAGAGACAAAGAGCAATGGCGAAACTCAACTCCCATGATGACTGGAAGCTCTCTTTAGCTTCACGCACAGCAGCAGCTGTCCCCAACCCTCTGAAAGTTTGCAGCCAATAAGAGGAATGTATGAAGATCGACAGTTTTCACGAGCATGCCCGTGCACACCAACACGCTGCATTTTAAACAGGATGAGAGGTAAAAGTGAGCAGCTTTGCTCCCCTTAGGGGACCAAATCTCACAGAACTGATCCGCTTCCTTCACAGATTTAAAAGATGCTTTTAAACGCAGCATAAAGGAAGAAATCTAAAGGTTTGTCTTACTTTGAGTAGTCTTGGTTGTCTCGGTCGCAGCGGGAGTCCTTGTGCTTCTCCCAGTCTTTGCCATGTTTGCACGTGGTCAGCAGGATGACGTCGTCCCCGTTGTGGATGTGATACAGAGCGTTCCTGGTCTCTGAGCCGATACCGGTCAGGTACCGCTTCCCTTTAAAAACCAGCTGGTACTTCCTGGAAGGTGGCGCGTCATTCAGCGTCAGGTATCCTGTGGCTCCTCCTTTCAGCGGGTGATCTTTGGAGAAAAGCGGGATGGAGATGTCAAAGTTTGGCCGGAAGTTGGCCACGTCTGCGCTGGCCTTGGCCAGCATGGCCAGGCCCACTTCGAATCGCAGATCCTCCGTGTAGTCGGGCCAGGTTCCAGAGTAGAGGTTGAATATGAGGTGGTTCCTGCCATCGTTCCACGTTGGCAGGCTGTGGATGCGGGTCCTGACGTTCTGGACGAACTGAGCCGAGAGCTGGTCCCTGTCCAACGTGTCCACGGTCAGAACAAACAGACAGGCCCGCGAAGGGTCGGCGGTGTGGAAGCGAGACTCCTCAATGGAGGACAGGATCTTCTGGTAGGCCTCTGAGATCTCGTCGCCTCTCTGAGGAGGGTAGATGTAGACCCTGAAGCCCGACTGGCAGCGCGAAAAGTCAAAGCAGGTTTCCATGCGACAGCGCTTATTCCTGTAAATGTTGTCACGGATCGCACGGCGTTCACGAGGAGAGGTGTGCTGGTGGTGGAGCTGAGGGCTGTCCTCCTGCAGGGGGGCACGTGCACGGTTAGCAAGACTTCAGTTATAGAATATAAATAAACCCAAAAAATATTATAAAATTCCTCCATTTACAAGCAGAGATGTTGGTTAACCCCCCTCCGATAAAGTTTCTGGATGAGCCCCTGTGGAGTTAGTCCACATTTTGACTAAATTACAAGATCCAAAGCTCCAAAAATTTCATCCATCCATCCATTTTCATCCGCTTATCCGGAGTCGGGTCGCGGGGGCAGTAGCCTAAGGCAAGAGGCCCAGACTTCGCTCTCCCCAGCCACTTGGGCCAGCTCCTCTGGGGGAATCCCAAGGCGTTCCCTGGCCAGGTGAGAGACATAGTCCCTCCACTAGTACTGGTCTGTCCTGGGTCTACCTTTAGGTCTCCTCCCGGTTGGACGTGCCTGGAAAACCTCACCAGGGAGGCGTCCAGGAGGCATCCTGACCAGATGCCCGAGCCACCTCAACTGGCTCCTCTCGATGTGGAGGAGCAGCGGGTCTACTCCAAGCCCCTCCCGAATGACCGAGCTTCTCACCCTATCCCTAAGGGAGAGCCCAGCCACTCTTCGGAGAAAACTCATTTTGGTCGCTTGTATCCGCGATCTCGTTCTTTCGGTCACTACCCAAAGCTCGTGAACATAGGTGAGGGTAGGAACGTAGATCGACCGGTAAATCGAGAGCTTCGCCTTCTGACTCAGCTCTCTCTTCACCACGACAGACCGGTACAATGCCCGCATCACTGCAGACGCAGCACCAATCCGCCTATCGATCTCGCTCCAGTTTTCCCTCAATCGTGAACAAGACCCCGAGATACTTAAACTCCTCCACTTGGGGCAGGACCTCATCCCTGACCCGGAGAAGGATCAACACAGTGCTTCTCCAAAAATGCAAAAATTCAGTTTTATGTTAAGACTTTATTCTAAATCATAAAATATTAACCAGGTTTCTTTTAAGTACAGCAAAGACACAGGAAGTGATGAGATTCTAACGTACCAGTCTGATGCTATTAGGTGACTGGACTACACTGGGTTTGATGGTGTGGGGTCAGGAGGAGGCTGGCAGGTGAAGGCATGAACATCTAATTTAACCAGACTGAAGCTGCAGCAAAGGCAGGAGCTCCAAAACGTCATCAGCACGTTGGAGACGACAAGAGGATTACAGAAGTCTGGAGCTTTAGTGCTTTTATGAGATTCAGGTGTGCTAATTAGATATTGAGCTCAGGTGTGAGGCTCAAACAGGAAGTGATGTGAACCAACAGCACAAAGGGGTTAAACTCGACAAAATAAAACAGGAAGTTAAGTTAGTTGGAGAAGATGACGGTAAAAGGGTTTTAAAATAAACTAAACATGAACTTAAAAGAATTTGATGTCAAATCTGAAGTGAATTCTTCTCCAGCGTACCTCCTGCTCTCCTCCCTCCAGGTACGGCTCCAGCGGCTGGGTCGACTCAGGCCAGCGTCTGGCTGGTCTGGACGGGAGTCTCTGGGGCAGAGGCTGGTGCTGGTGGTACTGGTAGTCTTGCTGGTGGTACTGGTAATACTGGGGAATGTGTGGGTGCTGGTACGGCTGCTGCTGAAACTCCCCAATTTGCAGACCCCACAGATAGATGAGGAAGAGTAGACCGGCCACCACAGACACGAGCAGGTACCGCTTCTTGGCCTGCATGTGTGCTGTGGGATGAGGAGGAGGAGGAGGTGGTGGAGGGAAGGGGAGGTTTTCTCAGCAGGAGGTGGAGATGGAGGGAGTATAGCTAGCAGGTAAATGAAAAGAGCAGAGCGGTGGAGAGGGACTGCAAGGGAATTCTACCTGCAGCTCAGCATCTTGAGACTTCAGGTTCACTAAAAGAGACAACAAATAAATATTACGTGCTCATAAAGGATTTCTGAGTTTTATACATGTTTGTTTTATTTCAGCTGTAATAAAAGAAGTAAAAATGGTTAAATATGATTCAAAATTTTAAGTTTGTGTCAAAAAATACCAAAGAAATAAATGAATGAACCAACCTCAGGTATTGAGATTATTTGTTGACTGACCCTTAAGTGGAATTTAAATAAAGCTGCAGCGATTCTAGTTTTGAGGGCCAATACCGACTTCTGAGTTGTAGATAAAAAAAAAAACTTTTCTGACTAAAATTAAAGGACTATAGTTAGAATCATTTTTAAATGATAACAAAAATTATCTTTTTTTTTCAAGGAAAATGTTTATGAGGAAGATTTGTTCATCTTAAACTCACAGACTAGTGTTTATTTTTACTGCTGGTTGTCTCTGGTGGGTTTTCGTTCTGATAAAGCTAATTCTGAGGAATCCTGGCCGATTCCAAACACCAGGTCGACTTTTGGTGCGTCTTGTACAGTTAATTTTTATTTTAATTCTGCAAATGAGACTTCCTTAAAGTAGATTCCGCATTAAGTCTTCTTGGTTCTCATTTTAAAGTAATCTTTTCAAACTTCCACCGAAACTTTTAGGAAGTCTGACTCACCTGTTCATGAGGAACACCTGTGGAGGTGTCGGCTGCTCTCCTCTCCAGCCCGAGCAGGGGTCCACACTCCGGAAACACACCCTCCATTAACCCCGCTGCTCTGAACAACAACCACTCATTCACTAATCTCTTCAGATGAACTAAAACCACGTGGAGCGAACCTGTGAGCTCAGCGCACGCTGGGAAACCAAATAAGGAGCGTTGCTTTTACGCTCTGTCGCGTCCCGGTGGGAAACTTCGGAGCTCCTCAGGTGTCCTCCACCTGAGCCTTGCGGACAGAATCCGAATCCCGCGGTGAGAACTCACACCGGCAGCATCCATCCAGGATCACGGGAGCGAAACGGTCATCTCCAATCAGCTTCCGTCCCTCCTCTGGGAGGAAGGAGAGGCTCAAAGTTTGCTGGTAAATCCGCGCGCCAAGTGCGTTCTAGAACGCATCAATGAAATCCCGTTAACAGCGAGTTCACGGTCCCGGTGAACGTCAGCGGCTGTCGCTGCGGGGATCAACTGGCGGATCGGATCAACACGGTGTTTCTCTGGGCTCGGTACTGCCTGAACAGACCACCGGCTTTCAGCTGTCCTTGTCCCGCGCCGTCCTCACGTGCCCATCCTTAAAACCCGGAGACTGAACCGGGCTGCGCCCCCGTGCAGCATCCGGCAGCAGCATCAGCATCAGCAGCGCTGATAAGGTTGGAGGCACCGGGAGCAGATGTCTGCTGGCTCTGATAAGATACGGGAGCTCCGTATCTCCACAGCCTGCTCTCTCGCTCTCTCTCTCTCTCTCTTTATTACAATAAATAAATAAATAAATAAACCCGAACTGAACCGAGGAGCTTCCAGCATCAAAAATGACACCGTTTGGATTTCCTTCAATTTCTGGTTGCTTAAAAGCTTGTAGCAACAGTTTTTGTGTCATTTATTATTAGTATCAAGTAAAAATTGTAATCTTTTATAAAGTTTTTTTAAGCTGCAGTTATTTGAAATCACAAGCTGAACTGGTAAATGAATTAGATAACGTTCATCTGTTTCTTTTTTTACGATTTTGTGATTCTTCTCTCAACTTTTAAACTCGTCAAACTCCTGAAAGAGTCAAAATTTGAATATTTTTAGGTATTTTTTATTCTGCACTTTATTCGTCTTTCAGCAGGAACACAAACAAACATCTGAATCTGATTAAATGCAGAAAAAAGTTCCCAGATGTTCGGGATAGCTGTCACTGTGTCAAACAGCGCCATCCTGTGGTGGAAGTAATTTCTCCTGTAAGGTGAGATTTTGAAAGAAAACAACAAATATTGAATAAAAACATTCCAGAAACTCGCAAATAAAAAAACAGAGAAAGGCAGTTTAGCTACTTTACAAAACGTGTGTTTTAAACATTTTTTGCATTAAATAAGAAAAGAACTGAGATCCACAGAACTTCAGATGGAACATGTTCCGCAAAAAATATTTTTCAGGATGAATTCAGTTGTCTAAATTTAGATTTTGAAGTGATTCTGTCATTCGTTCTGCTGGAAAGGTGATCAGCTAAAAGCTGCAGGAACCTCAGAAATCTCCTTCAGCCACATTCAGTCTAAATTCTGTTATCAATTTTTATATTATATCATTTTTGCACTCTTTGAATTTTTCACACACATTTACTTTCCGTACAAGGGACCATTGTGTCTATTATTGTATAAACTTGGACTTACATCATTTACGACAATAATATGGATTCATTAGGTTCATTTACCTGAAGTTGCAGCGAGCTGTGGCCACAACACATGATTCATCACCACAGGATGAATTCATCAAGTCAAACACTCTGTTATTCACACCAACGCGGCCAATTTAGCATCACTAATTAACCAGACGTGCATGCCCTGACGTGAGAGGAAGCAGGAGAACAAAGTCTGGGGAAATCAGCCAAAATAAACACGTGAGGACACGTTTAAAAACGCTGTTTTTAGATATTTGGATGCAGAGCTTTTCCTTTTTTCTCTTCATGATGATCCGCTGCTGATAAATAAAGTTTGAGGTTAATTTTAGCAACCTCATAAAGTGAGGTAACACCTTTTAATGACCGGATGACATTGTGTAATTTAGATGACATGTTTTAGTTTTATTATGACTCTGAGCTTTTGTTTCATCCACATTTTGTCCATTTTTTTAACCTGACATAAAACTTTAAACCAGTTTATTTTCATTTTTTTTTCTTCATCCTTGCAGCCATAAAGCTTTTACGGCTTTCCGTTGCCATAACTGGACCTTCTGCAGAAATGGGGAGCTGTATAAATCCTGGTTTTCTGAGAGTTGAAGGATAGGAAGCCAATAAATGTTTGGATTTATTTGAGCACTTGAAAAACAATTCTTTAGAAAGCACTTCATCTCAAATCTGCAGCAGTGGAGTGCAGTGAATCTCTCAGTGTTTATCTAAAACAATGGCAGATATATTTATGTGTTTTAAAAGAAAGAACGGAGCAGTCTGAGAGTTTTTCTCTTAATTTAGTGGCGCTGAGGAAACATCAGAAGGATCCGCTGGTGTCGATGGCTCCATGCTCCATTAGGGATGATAAATCTGAAAAGGTTCTGTTGGCGTTAACGGAGCGGTGGGGGGAGCCAACTTTGATCTGTTTCAGTCTCAGTCCACCGCTTCACTTCCTCCACTTCTTCATCTTCACTATTAATCCTGAAGGTTTCAGCTGGAGTGAAGTTTCTTTCCTCCTCTGAGCCAACAGTCAGGAGGAGGAAACCACGCATGGATCGGACAAGATGGTTTTACTTGATTCTGCATGACGCACAGCAGCCACGGAGGGTTTATGAGTCGATGTTTTACACTAAAAACATTGAGAAGCTGCCTACAGATATGGCGCAACACCTCCATACGTTTATGTTTGTTTTCTTCTAAATGTGGAGCAGAGCTAAAGGGCAGGAGTCCTGTATTCTTCACACATCTTCATGTTTTAAACCTCGTTTGTGAGCGATTTTACTAGTTTATGAGGTTTATGAAAAGTGAGACTTTGTTTTATTTTCTGCTGAAGTAAATTCCCTTTAGAGTAAAGTCTACTGCACTGACGGCGGTGCTACTTTAAGTGCAGCAATGGCCACGACTGTCACACAGAAACCACAGACGGTATAATTACATCCAATCAAAGCAGTATGACACTCCAGAGGAGGCAGAGAAATTACACTTCATCCTCTTTTTAAAGAAAATAAAAATGTCTAACATGAAGCTGTCTGCAACACAAAACACCTAAATGGATTCAATCAACATAAATTAAATCTATTTTCCCTATAGATTATAGTTTTAACCAATCAGAATTTTTCTTACTTATTTTTTTACTTTGGGGGTGTAATAGAAGGAATTTTAAACCGTTCTTTGCGCCACTATCAGGGGTGGAGTACCATACCTGCCAAGGGCCAGTATCTAGCGTGTTTTAGTTGTTTCCCTGCTCCAACATGTGGTTGAATCATCTGTTCAGCAGCTCATCAAACTCTGCAGAAGCCTGTTAGTCACATGCTGATTAAAATCAGGTGAGTTAAAGCAGAGAAACAACTAAAACATGCTGGTTACCGGCCCTCGACGGACCAGGATTCCCCACCCTGGCTCTGAATAACTTTGCTGGGGCTCAAATTGGCAGAGGAGCCCTGATAAATGGCTAAACACAATCATGACAAAGCCCTACAAGGAAAGAATGGTATATATGCCCCGCCCACTCAGCCAGGACCTGAATATAAAATCAGCTGCATTCTGATTGGCCAGTTCATCCCGACTTGTCTTTGACTCTGCCAGAAGCTTTTGTGTGTGTGTGTGTGTGTGTGTGTGTGTGTGTGTGTGTGTGTGTGTGTGTGTGTGTGTGTGTGTGTGTGTGTGTGTGTGTGTGTGTGTGTGAACAAACAGGATACGGACAACAAACTGTGGATCTTTCTTGCCTTCGTTCAAATTCTGGATTTTTCGTGTACATCCTGGGACTGAGTGGTGCTTCGACATCCTTCGTTGGAACATTAGCAGTAACTCAGGCTAGCATTAATGCAGGATTTAAAGGAGGACTTTTAAAATTATGTAAATAAAAAATTGTGCATTCAAACATGTAAACACATTTAACCAGATCTATTTTATTAAGCTTAAACTTCACTACTGATCAACTTCAGCTACAGAAGGCTGCCACAGCCAATCAACATTAGCAAACACAAAAATAGCTAAAACCAGAACATTTTTGCTGATATTTTACTAATTGAGTGTGTTAGAAGCTGTGATCTATGGCTACATTTCCTCCTGCAACACCATACATGCTTTCAGGATTTGACCAAAACGACTGCAACTCCTTAATTTTCTTCTCCCTCAAGAAAGACTAGACCCTAAATTATTCAGACACTTTTTATTATGTTTTCCACAAACCCTCAGAATTTATTTTTCTGGCTGATCATGAATGGTCACATGATGTCTTTATTATCTCTTGGAGAAGTTTTTCGTCTGTCAGCGTTCTCGTCAGTAACTTGTGAGGTGAAATCGCTGCGCTACTGTCGTGCATCTGCAGAGAAAATTGATTTTTCATGTAACCTGTGACTAGTCACAGTGTGTGTGTGTGTGTGTGTGTGTGTGTGTGTGTGTGTGTGTGTGTGTGTGTGTGTGTGTGTGTGTGTGTGTGTGTGTGTGTGTGTGTGAAGACAGAGCATCCACAAGAACATATTAGGGTCAGTCAATAGAAAATGGAGCCCCCAGGACACCTTTCTGACCTCCTCCTCTTCACTTCTTCTCCTGTTCAGGACTTGTGACTTTCTGCTCAAACTGTAAAATGTCAGAGGACGTTTGTAATGTCACAATAACTCATTGGGCAAAAGTGGGCTGTTGTTATGCAAACTGCATCCTTGAGTTTAGTGAGACTTTAACACGTCCGCCATCACCATCAAAGCCAGCTCATGCAGCAAAACGCATTCAATTTCATCATTTTCTGTAACTTTTTATCTTTTAACATTTATTGTTTGTGGCTACAACTAAAATGGAAAAATAGAAGTTACAATAAGATGCCCTTTTTAGTTAAATGTTTTATTTTCAGCCACAACTTTTCAGGGTCTTTCATAGTCAAATAGCCCATATGATGTCCGGGAATTTTGTTTTATTTTCCAACGGGGAGAAACGTTATTTCATGTTTTGGGTGAAAATAAGTCCAGGACTACAAATGTGCATCACAAAAGGGACGTCATCAAACCAGACACGGAGAAAAACAGAGGGAAAATACAGTAAGTTCAGCAAACTTCAAATCTTTCCTTCAGGAAGAAAGAACCATAAATCTGACCATGTGGTAAGTAGCAGCTACGCTAGGGCAGAGGAGATTATGTGGTGATATGCGACATGCCGATGTCTGATTTATAGTTATGTTAATTACGAACATTTACAAGCTGATAAATCTCAAAGTACGTGACTGGCGTGGTCGAAACACGCTTCACAACTTTTCTTTTAAATAGTCGTATTCCATATGTGCAATCCAGAGCGTAAGGCAAAGCACATTAAAAAATAGCTCTTTCAGCCCCTGTGGCTAAACCAGTGGCTAGAAAGAGTTGGTCTGAAGGACAGCACAGAAGCACTCATCATGCACTGGAACAGGCCCTAAACGCCAGAGCCACAGAGGCCAAGATCTACCACACCAGACAACACCTAGCCTGGCCTGCCTCCGAGAAAGAGTCTGGTAACTCACCAACAGAGAGGCACATGAGGGGCGGGACTAGCCAGCTCAAAAACAACCAATAAGAAAAAAGACGAAAATGCCGACTGTACCGCACAACGCTGTAGTTTTCT